GTTTAACTCTGAAGGCCTTTGCTGTCTCACGTCACTCTGAAGGCCTTTGCTGTCTTATGTCACTCTGAAGGCCTTTGAGGTATCACGTTTAACTCTGAAGGCCTTTGCGGTCTTACGTTTTACTCTGAAGACCTTTGCAGTCTTTTTTTTTTTGTTTTTCCTTCTAATTATTCTCATCTGCTGAGGCCTTTGCAATCTTACGCTTCTCTGTATTATCCCATATCTTTCAGTATTTCCTTTCAATTGTTCATATGGAGAAAAAATCTTAACCCATAGAGATAAGTCACTTAAATGGTAACAGTCATCTAACAGTTTGCCTTGTAAACTCTACATGCCCTTCAGTTAATAAAAATTTTTTTCCAAGGTCTGTATGTAAAGCATGCAACAGGTTGGTGTGGCTCTCCAGTGAATAAAAATTTTAGTCCATGTGCTGTATTTTAGGTACACACTCATTTTAAGAAACAGTTTCATTTTTGAAATGAAAATCAAAGCAAATCTTTGTGGAATTCCTAAAACATCCCAGGTTTTCAGGGAACATGGCAGGAAGCCTCTGCCCCATTGATCAAGTTCAGCTTCCTGGCGTGGTACCCAAGGGTTCTCAGACTCCACACTTTTCCTGCTTCTCTAAAATTTTCTCCACTTCTCTGTCCCACATTCCATCCCCTGTCCATATTAAACTTTTTTTTTTTTTGAGACAGAGTTTCGTTCTTGTTGCCCAGGCTCTTGGCTCAGTGTAACATTGGCCTCCCAGGTTCAAGTGATTCTCCTGCCTCAGCCTCCCAAGTAGCTGAGACTACAGGCGAATGCCACCATGCCCAGCTAATTTTGGTATTTTTACTGGAGACGTGGTTTCACCATCTTGGCCAGGCTGGTTTTGAACACCCGTCCTGAGGTGATCCATCCGCCTCGGCCACCCAAAGTGCTGGGATTACAGACATGAGCCACCATACCCACCTTGTATTAAACCACTTTGGATTTCCCTGAAAATATCACGTTCTCCCCACTCCATATGCCGCTGCACACATTGATCCCTTGATCTGTGTCTAACTAGAAAAATCCTCCAGATTCACCTAAGCAATGCTTTGGTTCAACAGTCCTTCAGATTTCACTGAGGAAGACTTCTGAGGGAAATGAATGGTGCTGACTGGTTTTTCAGGCTCTCTTTAACCAAACATTAAAGTACCAGTCAAACCATATAGTTATTTTCATAAAACAGGGTGCCTCCAACCCATTAGCCAAGAGGTTGGCAAACTTTCCCTGTGAAGGGCCAAATAGTAAGTGTTGGCTTTTCAGGGCATATGGTGTCTGTTGCAACTATTCTACTCTGCTGTTGGAGGTCAAAGCAATCACAGAGAATACACCAATGGCTGTGACTGTGCCCAACAACTGACGATTGGCTAAACAAAACATGGTACAATCATACATGGATTATTATTCAGCCCTAAAAAAAGGAATTAGGTCCTGGCACCTGCAACAACATGGCTGAACCTTGAAAACCTTGTGCTGAGTAAAAGAAGCAGATGCAAAAGACCATACAGTATATGATGCCATTTATATTACATATACAGATTTGGAGAAGGTCAATTAGTAGTTTCCAGGGCTGAGGGGAAGAAGGATAAGGGGAGTGACTGCTTAAGAGATTTCTTTTTTGGGTTGATGAAAATGTTCCACTTTTAGAGGTGAAAAGGGCACAACATCTATTTGTGCATAGATTTAGTAAAAGCCACTAAATTGTGCACTTTCAAAATGGTTAGAATGGTGAATTTTATTTTACGGGCATTTTACCTCAATTACAAAAAGAAACTTTATTGAAAGGGATGCAGCTGCAGTTGGCCCTGTGGAACACAGTTTGAGGGCCCCAGCTCACACAGACGTGTGAGCCCCTCTGGGAGCAAGAAATACCCCTGATCCATCTCTGGAACTCCAGCCCCCATTAGCAAACTTTAAGGTTCTCTTCCTGCAACCCTGCGGTGACTCCAGGGCACCAGGTTGAGGGTGCAGCGCAGGCAGGCCTGGGCAGTCCCTGCTCCTGTGGGACTCGCCCTCTAGTGGGAGGTGGGGCAGCAGCACTTGCTCCAGCCTGGCGCTGGGACGGTGAGGAACTGGGTGGGGGGGGGAGGGGGGGCAGGGGGCTGTGTCGGTTCCTTCTGCTGGCTGGTCTCTAAAAGAGCCCTGCTCTGAGGAGGAGACAGTTGCCCTGGTGATTGGGCTAAGCTAGGGTCCATGAGATCTGAGGGAAGCGTGTTCCAGCTGCTGGAACAGCCTGGTGGGTGTAGGGACAAAGTGGGTGGAACCTAGTGATAGGGGAGAGTGGACTAGGCTGAGGGAGGGAGGAGGTGGGCTTCAGGCGGGTCACAAAGATTCCTGCAGGGGAGGACAGAGAGGGCACCAGGCAAGGAGTTTGAGAATGCATGATGAAAATCAATGCACAGATTTCTTTCTCTTTTCTTTCCTTTGTTAGGGATGATCCCTGCTGTTCTTTCTAGTGAGCCTGCTCCATCTCAGCTCAGCCTCCACAAGGCCTCCATCTCCCAGGCATTCTTACCTCTGAAGAAAGCTCTCTGTGTGGACAGTAATGAACTGGGTCCTTTGAGGAACGGCACCTGGGTGCCCAGAGGCATGGCCGGAAGGTGTCTGTGGGAGCCGTGCCTTGGGAGGATGTACCCAGAGCGTCTGAGAGAGCATCTGCAGGGGTTTCTCCTATAATCTCTCCTCCAGATCATTCTCAAACTTTCCCCACTACTTCCATAATAAAACATATACTTGTTGAAATGGCTGAAAAGGCTTGGTTGATTATTCCATTGGACCAACATTGAGAATTAACAGGTATGCTGGTGGTTTACCAAGAATCATAAACAATACAGCTAATTGTGTACTTTACAGGTGAAGAAACTGCAGTTCAGAGGGACTGATGGCTTGCCCAACATCACATTAAGCTACAGACCTGAGATTTGACCCAGTTTGACTCATTCCAAATTCCGTATTCTTTTGTGTAAAGATTTGGGACGCCCCCAAAGAGGAAATACAGATGTGAGGATGTGGCTGCTGCAGGAGAAAGCCGTGTCCAGCTCTCCAGCCTCCATGTTTCTTGCCTATTCTGGAGGAGGTTCCATGTCCTGGTTGAGAGCTTGGTCCCTGGAGACAAGTTTCTTGGGTTTGAATCCCAGCTCCACCCCTTACTGGATATGCAGCCTTGGGAAGGTTATTGTCTCTTAATGCCTTATTTTACCATCTGTAAAATGGGGATAGTAACAGCAGGGTAGAAGTTCTCTTATCATCATGATCAGAACCATCATTGGTTGGTTCATCAAATAAGTTGGATCCAAAAGGTAATTAAAAATACTTTCACCATTTTGTTTTAAAATATAAAATTGTACACTAATTTGCCAATCTTTTGATACAATATCAGGGTTTTTTGTTGTTGTTATTGTTGTACCTGTCTATGGACCTACAATTTCCAGTCTGTCCCTTAAAAGGTCAGTAGAGACACAGGCATCCTTCCAAAGCTATTTAAGCAAAATCCTCAATACTTAAAAAAAAAAAGAAAAAGATTATCCCAGTAGCCATCTTGCCTATTCCAACGTCACATATTTTTTGTTGTTGCTCTTATTAACAATCAGCCTTTATTGCATCTTTCCCACTGAATTATTGTTTTGATGGAAAATATTATTTGCCTACGTTCTCATATTTTCCTCATTTATGTTAAATATAATTGCATTACATAATTGAAATAAAATCTATTAGAATGAAAAGGTTTAGAATAAATACAACCAGCTCTTGGTAATCACACAACTGAACCTACAGAGAAGAATGAAGGCATATTAGAAAGCACTGTACTAGCCAGGGGCGTTCGGTGAGCCTGAAGCATCAGTTGGTATATTGCACAGAGGGATGGAATCTTCTTTTACCCCAGGAATCATTCAAAAGTGGAGTTTAAGGAACAGTCTACTGAGCTTGCCTCATAAAGTTTAAATGAGATTTTTTTTTTTTTTTTTTTAAGTTCCAGGGTTCATGTGCAGGCTGTGCAGTTTTGTTACATAGGTAAATATGTGCCATGGTGGTTTGCTGCCCCATTTATCCATCACGTAGGTATTCAGCCCAGCATGCATTAGCTATTTTTCCCAATGCTCTCCCTCCCCGCAACTCCACACCCCGACAGGTCCCAGTGTGCGTTGTTCCCCCTCTGTGTCCATGTGTTCTAAATGAGATAGTATTTCTAAAACACAGTGCCTGGCACATATTTCTCAATTAATGTATTGCTACTAGTTAGGGCAGTGTTAGCCAATAAAAATCTGTGAGCTACATTTATTTCACACTTCCTGCTAGCCCAGAAACCAGTAAAATAAATTTGAACAATATGTACGATTTAATTCAATATACCCAAGATACATTTCAACAAGTAATCAATATAAACAATTGTTAATGAGATCCGTTATATCCTTCTTTTTGTATTAAGTCTTTGAAATCCATTGTGTATTTTTCACCTATTGCACATCTCAATTTGAATGC